ATAATTTATATTTTTTTCTTTTATTTATTAACAGACGGCATCTTATATCGACTTTCCCTATTCCCTACACATATATACGTGACCATTTTTTGGACTTGAAAAAAAATGGTCTATTGTACTCGTATCTAATAACAGCAGTAAAAGCTTGCTACTTGAAAATAGATTAATGTTCCTCTGTTTCGTAAAATAATAAATCTATTACATGAAAATTCATATCTTTTTATTTGCAATTTCATGAATATAATTGTGTCGCCTATAATAACTGTGATGTTTTGACTATTTTTGACTTAGATTTAGAATGGATTTTTAACTCCGTGTGTGTCATGATCCTTTTCACTTCGTAATCGTCAAATATCCTCTATGGTTAATTTTATCATTTAAAAATCCTAAACAACCCAGGTTGCCAAATGGTACCTACAATATTTTTTAGCAAATAGAACGGACATCAAACTTTTAAAAATTTAGAAACAATTATCATAAAAGATAATTAATTATTCTTTTGACTGCTATTGAAGTCGGGTGGAGATTTTCTGTAGGCTATTAAATAATAACCGCCCTAAGACTTCAATAGCAGTTTCTTGAACAATTAAGTCGCTTTTAAGATAAGTATTCCTTCTCACTTTTTTAATATAAAATGTCAGTTTTTTTTTTTAAAACAAATTGTTTGTGTGAAACAATTTGTTTTAAAACAAAACATATCTAAACAAAACATATCTATTATTTTTTCGCTGATATAAACATGTCGCCTAAATATTTTGGCTGTAGTTGGTGTAAAGCATATTTTGTTTTGTTATAAAAACAAAACTATCGATCCGAATTCGAAAAATGTATATGAGACGACTCCTGCCCATTCTTCTTCTTTCTTCAACGGGCGTCTCCGCAACTCGACGACCAAATTGCGCCTATTTTGCGTGTGGAGGGTATGTGGCCGGATACTACTCCAGCCAGCCCAGCTCTGCCAGGAACGCCCCCAGCGCCTTCACATCTGCGATGGCCTCTCGGAGGTCGATGAGATGGCCGGCGAGCCGAGGTGCTTTGCCCGGTAGTTGGCCACTCCGTTGCATTCCAGCAGGACGTGAGTAGCTGTTTCTTCCGCCTCCATGCATCCTCTGCACAGTGATACCTACCTAGATTGAAAAGGTGCCTATTAAAGTTGCTATGACCAGTAATAGCACCCGTTACCAGGCGCAAATATGGTTTACTTAGCTGTAGGAGGGCTTTGGAGAGGCGAGCGTTCACTCGAGGTAGTGCAAGTTTGGCCTGCCTGCAGGTTTCCAAAGTGTGCCAGTACTGTTGATGCAGTTTACTCGAGTGTTCACGTATCCTACCGATTAACCAGCTTACCGGAATAGGAATGATCGGTTCCGGGCCCATTGGTGCTGCATCTGATCCTCTGCGTGCCAGTTCGTCAGCTGCATCATTTCCACGTGATCCACTGAGTCCCTTTATCCATTGGATAGTAATTATATTGTGTGTCCCTACCATGTTTAGAACCTGGTGACACTCCTGTAGAAGACTCAATCGGACAGAACTTCCTTTGAGAGCCTGAAGGACTGATTTACTGTCCGAGAAGATCCGGATTTCTGATCCTGTTACCTTCCTTGTAGTTATCGCTCTCGCCGCCAGGGTGATCGCCATACATTCAGCCTGGAAGACTGAATTGTATGAGCTAAGGAGCAGGAACAGATGTATGTTGAGGTCCTCAGAGAATACACCAGCTTCTGTGCCTGTTGAGGTTTTGGAGCCGTCCGTGAAAACTTTGATGGCCCTGTGTGTTACCTTTGGATCGTCACTATCCGTAAGATGTATCTTGTATTTCTTGTCAAAGATGAAGGTGGATTCGATTCTGTCGGACACCGCCTCAACAAGCGGGGTGTTAAGTCATTCCTTCAGTAAGCCATTGAGATGTTTAACGGTATCTAACCTTACCAGTTTATAATTTTTTAGTCTCAACGCTGTCTTGGCCGCTTCCTGTCTAATATAAATATGTAATATTCAAAATTACCTCCAGAGTTGCCGTGGGTGCCGTGCTAATGCATCCCGTCAGGGCGCAGCACGCCTGCCGTTAGAAGCTTTGCAGTTTGTTTTCACAGGAGGACTGAGTAGTTTTTGGCCACCAAACAATAGCACCATTACTTACCATCGGTCGTATTACTGTGTTGTAGAGCCACAAGAACAGTTTTGGCGCAAGTCCCCAACGCTTCCCGATTATTTTGCGGTATTGCCACAGGATGACGCTCGCTGATATGAACCCTGCCCATAAGATCATAAATTCTGATGATGAAAATAATTTGAAAATTAGTCAACAATTCGCGGAAATATCTGTAATCCAATCAATTCAACCGACTTCGAAATCGAAAAGAAGGGGGTTATATCCGTCGATCATATAACCTCCTCCTTTTCGATAACCGACTTCAAAACACTCAACCCTTGCAATGCCGTAAACAGTTGTGAAATCAAATGCAATCGAAGTCGGATAAACTTAGCAAACGCAAAGAGCAACATAGTGAGAGCCAATCGTGAACAGTACCTAAAATTTTTTTGTTTTCACTTAGTACCTAGTTTGTAGTTACATTTTCAAGAGGGACAAGTTCTACAGGATTCGCAAGCAAGTATTAAATGAAAGAGTAAAATGACGTACAATTAAATAATAATAAAGACAAAATATCACACTCGAACGCTAGTAGTGGACAGTATTGATCCAGCGTTTGACCCCTATAGTTACGGACACTAATAATAACAACCAGTTATGGACAATCAGCAAAATATATAACAATTAGCTCCAAAGAAATCCATTTTTCGATCGGAACGAAGATAGGACCTGACATCGCCACTTGCACAAATCATCTGGGATATGATTCGATTTTTTATTATTTTCTTTCGTGTGTAAACATAGTAGGCTCTCAGATTACAATAGTTATCTACAACAATCCCGCCCAGCGGTTTAATAGCGTGAATCTCAAAACAAAGACTAGTCTTCACAGAATAAAGTCCAGTCTTTATTCGTGAATCTTATGAAACGTCAAAGTCATAGCGACAGTGTAAGTACTGTCATAAAGTCGTCCTTATACAATGACATTATAATATCACGTCATATCCCGTATATTATTGCCTATTGAAATAATTGAATATCTAACAGTAAAGTAATAGGACTTACGAAGCCATAATATAGACCTATTACATTAAAGGAACACTGAAGTAGTAAGAACATTGAAGAAATATATTTGCACACAAAATGAGGAAGTATTTAAAAAAAACGAAAGCACTAAAAAAGCACACCACTAGATGGCGACTCTAGTAAAAGTTGATTTTTACAGGTTCCTTTTAACTATTAAAAAACTGAAATTTGCAAAGTTCGAAACTTAGACATCAATACAAATACGAAAAAATACAAGTTGTTTATTGAGTTTTGAAAAATAATTTACTTTTAAACTTGAAAGAAAACCTGAAAGGTTGTCATGGAGAAATCAAGAACGTACCATAGCGACATCTAGTTTGATTTCGGTAACTAATGTATTTTTTTTAAATACTTCCTCATTGTTGAGCATGACACGTGCATGTAATCATGCTTTTTAGTGCTTTGGTTTTTTTTAAATACTTCCTCTCTATTTTCTCCATTTCACAATTTCGACTTTATTTATTACTAAAGTGGCAGATTTCATAATTAGTTAGGCGCGAGTATACAATAACGAAGTTTATGTCTATAATAGATTTACCGGTTTCTCAGTAATATAAATCTACTAATCTAATTTTACTATTAATTACGTTAGACTACTAATACTAGGTGAAATTAAACATATTACTAGAAAATATCTACATACTAAGTATATCACAATACTAGGCTAAATACTTGTTCCACAAAATATTTCTGTAAATCACACGTTTTTCGGCTCTACCTACGACATGTACCAGGCCCCGGGCTTAGGTGACTGGAGCCCTGGACAAATGGTCTACTAGCGCCCCCTTTATAACTATAATGTAAAAGCAAATAATCTATGTTACTTATATTTTAAGAAGGAAATAACAAAAAAACACGTCTTTCATAAACAAAACTATAGACATTTATTTCTACATAATTCACACTTCCAGCAAAGATTACAACTTTAAATTATATTTTTAAGGCAATTTGTTTCTCTCATTTTTTTTTATTATCTCTGTTTTCTATTTTGGTGCCCTGGGCAAATGCCCAGTCTGCCCATTTATATCATTCTCACATTGTATTTCTCTCCATGTCATAATATTCGACTTTAACATCCGGAATAAAGTTTATATAATTAGGAAACTGCAATAACAAAAAATATTAGGTGGATTAGGTATTTGTATCGAGTGTGATATATTACTAGAAATATGTATATCTAGTATCAAATTACCTAGTATAACCCAACTCTATTCTGTCACGAACCACGGAACGGGGAGTGTGCGAACTAGTTCGCGTAGGTTTTCTGAGGGAGTCAGTTCGTTCCCGCAGTTAATTTGTTAGAGCCAATTCTTCGAACCTGCAAAATTCAATTTCATGACTAATACAAAGGAAAATTGTAGAGAAGACAATAACTTTTATTTTCGCTAATACAAAGGAAAATTGTAGAGCAGACAATTTTATTTTCGCTGTTCTTTACTCCAACCTAACACATAAAGAAATAGTTCTTTTATATTTGTTGGACATTTATTAAATTATAGTACTATATAATCTTACAAAGCACACAGTTCCAAATTCAAGTGTTGGGTATTAAATTAAATTTGAATTGTATTAAAAGCATTGCTATACATTGCTGCATAAAATGAAACTCGTTTTAATGTTGCTATTACAAAATATTTAGTTCCCCTAACATCGAGTCGATTCATTATTTTATTTTCGTATTATAGTCTTGATTATGATAAATATCTTTTTATGGTAATATTATATTCCGAAAATGATATAAAATATTCACTAGCGCGATGTGTATTTAATAGATAAAATTGTCTTTCAAAAGTGCTGTCAACATCATCGCCTACTGACAACACTGATAGTTTCTTTTTAATTCGGTTCTTTGCCGTGTCGTTTCGGGTACGTTGTGAAATCCGCAATAATCGCTCTTTTTTGTTGAAATATTCTCACAGAATTAATAAAGTGTCCTTTTTAAATGTATATTACGTCCGCTGCGATGTATATTTCTTTACATTTTCTTACATTTGATAGGAATTTTCGCCGCTACAATTTGACGTTTAGCACGCATAGTAGAAAGATAACCTGAACGAGGTAAATAAATTAGTTTGTGCTTTTAACGTGGCATTTTGGTATTTCAGTGAAGAGTATCAAAATGAAGTTCAATAAGCTTGTCACGTCTTCAAGGAGGAAAAACAGGAAGAGGCATTTCAGTGCCCCTTCTCACATCAGGAGAGTACTCATGTCCGCACCGTTATCAAAGGAATTGAGACAAAAATTCAATGTGAAATCTATGCCTATTCGTAAAGACGACGAAGTACAGGTGAGATTATCTGTTATTTGTTAAAATTTATGTGATTCTTTAATTGTCAACTTTGTGGGAACCACATGCAAAACAAAATGATGAAAACAAACCATTCACAGACTATAGGCGACCGCTGCTGTTTCTAGGGTGAGCTAAAGGTTTTCTTTGGTGAACTCTTGACCAGCTAGCTAGCTTATACTATGGTTCAAAAATTGGCTCTGATTGTTTTGCTATAGTATTTTTTTTTTTATATGGACTAGAATTACTAGTTGTATTGAACAATTTTGAAAACCAAATACATGGTTAATTTAATGGTTAAATTTGTTACAAATGATAATGAAAAACCTTTCTTTTTTTCTATTTGTACATCATTGTTTAAATGTGAAAGTTTTAATTTCAGGTTGTACGCGGACATTACAAAGGCCAACAAGTAGGCAAAGTAGTCCAAGTATACCGTAAAAAGTTTGTTGTATACATTGAAAGGATCCAACGTGAAAAGGCTAATGGTGCCACAGCATATGTAGGCATCCACCCCTCAAAGGTAATGGCATTAATTCTATCAATCACCATAAAAACTTATTAAAATTTCTGAAAACTTCAATAGAGATAAGTTTGTATCCCTTTTTTCCTAGTAATTTATAACATTTTCATCTATTTCTGTAGAACTAAATATCATGTTTTTGTATTGGTCTATCACTATCATTTGACTTAATGACCCAACAAGGGCATGAATTTTTCAATCCTGAAAAACAAATGTGCAAAAAATAAGATTTTTTGATACAAATAATTAAAAGTTGTTTCAGATGGACTACAGATTGGACCATTTACTTTTCCTATCTATTTTTTTTAAGAATATGCTTTATTGTTGTGGATATCGCAATAAAATTGCAATAATGGAAAGGTTGAAATAGTTGATGAACATGAGTTACTTATATTTAAATTTGAATTGTGCTCCCATATGAATGAATATTTTCTTAATACGCAACTCAATTAGTATGTATTAGTATGTACTTAAGTGGTGGGTCATAGCTCATTCTACCAATTTGATTCCATCCATAGGAAAGGCCTGAGTGCCAACAATGGAGACATTAATATGCCGATGCTGATATGTTGTTTTATGTATGATGAAAATTTTTATTCTTAAGACATGTTTTCAATTCTGACTGATGCTTGATGTTAAGGCAGAAGGCTATAAGTTAGAATGGACGTATACAATGCTGTAACACTTCCATGGCTCTGATTTTGTGAATTCCTTTGTCATTTTACTCATTTAACATAATTGTATTCTCACAAAAAATATGTCTCTTTTAGTGTGTAATTGTCAAACTAAAGATGAACAAGGACAGAAAAGCAATCTTAGATCGCAGGGCAAAGGGTCGCTTGGCTGCTCTTGGCAAGGACAAGGGCAAATACACTGAGGAAACTGCTACCGCAATGGAAGCCTCGTGAACATAATAGATTATAAGATAATTAAAAAGTAAAAAAACAAAACAAATCTTTTATTTTAAAATTACCTTTACCTTACAAAGGCAATTTTTCACAATAGGAAATGCATTACTGTATAGCTCTCTTCCGATGCGTAAGTTCACCAAGTTGTGTGGGACTCTCGTGTGAACTAGTGAGCAGGAGGAGAAAACCCATTGATGTCATGATTTACATCAATAATCAAATGTATTGTATTTCGAATTTTATTGAAGTGAATGAAATGAAAGTATGTAGTATAGAAGTCTCCTTTTTTTTTGCAATATTCAAACTAGGTAATACGAATCTTATTTCTAATGCGTCCCTACCTAGACGTCTAGTTAGCAGGCACAAAGATATTTCAATATCTCTGTGTAGATGACTACACAGTGTAGCTATTGATATGTTACATATCGCTATTTACTCACATAAAACCCCTCAAATTCATTTGTGTGCCTGCTCCCTAAACGTACACGCAATATCGGAGCAGAGACACTGCAATAGCTACATAGCCAATTTTTGATATGGCGTTTTGACTTCGATGAGGAAGTATTAAAACAACATTACTTCCCGAAATGAACCTAGATGTCGCTACGGTGCTTTCTTGATTTCTACTTAACGACCCCTCAGGTTCTCTTTCATGTAGTTATAAAGCATATGTATTGATACCTAAGTTTCGAACTTTGCAAATTTCAGTTTTTTTATATGTAAATTAAAAGGAACGGAAATGACTATCTTTGGTAGATTCGCAACTTTTGCTAGATTCGCCATCCAATGAGGTGCGTTTTTTTTTCCTTAAAATACTTCCTCATTCCATAAGTGTTTATTAAATGAGAAATTCACTTCTGTAGTCATACGCGTACAAGAACATGAGCAAGACATGATGTAATGATTATTGATATTACGGGGAAGAGGGTAGAAGACTTTGTGTGTAAAAAAAAACAATGAAGATATGCAGTAAAAAACCTTTAATACTAGAAAAAAATATGTATGAGTACAGTAATTGAGCACCTCATCCATTTAGGCACAAAGACTTAAAGAAGTCTTTGTATAAGCATAATGACCAGTCAACGATTAAGAATAAGATGGTGGTGTCATTTCATAGATTTTTAAATAATCACTTAAAACATTGACATTTAATTAAATGCTGTATAAATTTTATACAGTTTTATTTAATTCAGACGTTACTTGATTTAAATACAAATTGTAACCTTTTTGTTTCAAATATTGTAGAGCCTATCCTGATTATTCAATGACTACACTTCATACTAGAGTTGCGTATCGATAGCTGACGTCATAATTCAATACCTACTAGACGTGTGTAAATCTTTATTGAGTCGGTTCAGCAAAATGATGCACTGATCCGAATCTCAGTTTATTCCGAATAGATCAGTAGCGCTTGAATGAAGGAAAAATTAACTGAGCAGAACTGCGAGACTGTACGGAAAGATTCGGGCTACATTGAGTCGCGTGACGGTAACAAATAAGCGCACTTGTCGGTCATACAGCGACTATATTTGTTTATTTACTAGTTTAACTTTTGTTTGGGTATCATATATCATGATAAATGTTTGGAATGCAAAAACCGATTCTGTCGATTAATTCCATGTGAATTTTAAAACAAACATTACATCAAAGTTCAACAAAAAGAATTAGGTAATTTTTAAATATATTTGTAACATGATCAAATACTGCTCTTGAATCTATCTGAGAATCAATAATCCGAATGAGCCAAATGAACCAATATTTAGAAATATATGTTTATTGCATTACTATTCAATACTATTGATAATGCAATACTATTGATATAGTAAGTTAAGTATAGAGTTACTTATCTATAGCTTGGACTCAAACAAATTTGTATGCTCACACACAAATGCATTTAGCCAATTTTGACATAGTAAAGTAAAGGAAAATGTTAACGTTATCTATCAGCAAGCACAAAGGTCCACAAACAAACTTCTCTCTCCGTTTAGTGACCATGCTATAGTTATGTAACTCAGTTTTATACTTCACTTGCATTCAGCCATTCAACATATATTAGGCTTACCTTACAATGAAACTGGATATTATTAATATGGCCTCAATCTAATTATTGCTTGTCTTAAAAAACAATGTTTCTAAATCTACACTCCTTTGAGCCCTCTCATGATACATGGGGTTCTGCAGAGTCCTAAGAATGTGCCAGTGGGAGAACAGTTCAATAATAAAATTAGCTCCAAGGATGCAACAAGCAGCATGTTGAATATTTTATAAGCCTATATCCTTAATTTACCTAGTACATTATTTATGGTACCATTTCTTTGAATGACTACCATTTACTGCTTTCTTTAGTAGGGGAGATTTGAATTAAGTTGAAAAGATTGGTAAACACTGCTAGAGCTAATAAACAATTGAGATTGACAGACATTATTGTTTTTTCTTTATAAAGGTACTGTTAACAGCAAATCAGGCTGTACAAAGCTGTAAAAATTGATATTTTGTGGTAACTAATGAATAATATGCTGTTATATGTTCTATTACAAAATATTGACAAGGAAAGTGGGGATATAAGGCACAATCACTGTGTCATTTCCTATTGTTATGGCTTAAAATAACATGATATATTATGATATTGCAACTTTTGCAAAGGCTATGAAGATCATAAAAAGAATTAATGTATTATACTGCAACTTCAGTTTTTTCTGAAATTTCCAAGTTAGCCTTAGATGCACATTTATAATGTTTTTTCACTTCGTTATTCAGTCCTTCTCGGTTTCTCGCTATTTCTATAGCATAAAATTGAACTCTGGGAACTAGCATGGTGTTCTGTTCTGAATAATCACCTTTCGTATCTGCTCTCAGAAGGGTACCGAAACTATAATCTTCAACAATGTTTTTAAACTTGTCACAGTACATTCTCCATTTAGCCTTGTTTGTGTTATTTTTTATTTCATTCTCGTTTATGTTGGAAACGTCCAAGTCTGGAAAGTCTTGTCTGAAGTGTGTGTAAATAAGATCATCATGAGGTGTCAGCTGCAACCATCTTGTATCTACTGAACAGAGTACCTGAAATGCATATATTATTAAATTAATTTCTTGAAACATATGTGAATAAAGTTATTAAAGTAATTAAATGGACACAACACATTAAGTTTTTTAAACTTCGTAAGATTAACACGTATGTATACTAAATTTGTTTATTTTTTACATTAAAACATAACCTATACTGTACATAATCAGATATAACCTCATAATACGTACATTAAAATAAATGTCACTATGTTCCATAGCTCTTGCAGCCCACAAGTGTTCCAGTGTTTCATCATTACCAAATTCTTCTGCAGGGCGCGACAAAACATCCTGAAATACAAAATAAATACGAATTAACATCTGTCCTCATATTAAAAGAGCGCCCTTAAGTTTAATTATAATACGAACCATGGCGTAGTTTTATAATATTAAAAGAGACAGAAATTTTCTAAGCTGTTTGCAAGCTAGAAATAATTTTAACAATTTTTTTACAAAAAATAGGTTTTGTTTTCGAGCCGACTTTTTTTCTACAGTCAGTGCATATCATAATCTATGAGCCAGTGTTACCTAGCACTAGAATTGATTAAAACGAATAAAATATACGCTGAGACTAAATGCTAAGAAAGAATTAGCGTGTTAATTAATGCGATAATTTATTAACGCGCTAAGTACATTATAAAAAGGATGCGCGAAAAACGCTTTAAATCAAGCAGTATACTAAATTTCGTTGCACGTTATTTATTACATGTCGATCAAGGAACTAAGTGCGTGCAAACAATAATTTAATAATATTGTATCCTAATACCTACATGTGAAATAAAAGTAAATGAACTATGTACATTTGTTGTCTACGCGGTAATATAATTTTACATCATTTTACGTAATAAAAATTTGTCCTTATATTTATTAACATTATCATCTTTATTATAAACACGTACTTATCGTTAATTAATCATGTCTAAAAATCTATGTAAATTTATGTATTTTTACAATCTAAACTTTTAAATTTTTTATTTACCATTTTACACATTTTTATTATACTCGTATAATCGCAATGAGGAAGTACTTAAAATAAATAAAGAAACTACAAAACTTTATGTCACTAGATGGCAGCACAAATTGTAGGATCTAAATGTCAATTCATGACGCTAGACCAAAGAGAATAGAATTGTCAGTGTTGTATGATCGGATTAATATCTATATAGTTGAAATTTAATTAGTTCGAGTTACGCAAATGCAACTCGATAAATACGAACGAGTCTTTGAATAAATTTATTTTTTATTCGTATAACGGAAACTAACTTAATAGAAGTGAGAGAAGGTTTTTAAAAGTTATGGAAATCAATAGAATTAATGCTATGGAATTATTAAAAATATTACGGTATAGAATAATATTACCGTGAAATTGTTTTTATAAATAAAACACTTATGCCACTGTAGGTCTAGGCATTTTTCATTATAATATTTAACAAAAGTTCTGAAATCAATAACAACAAGGTAAGTTAGATTTGTTGCTATTAGTTGAACTTACAGCAACATAACTACATTAAATTTTAATGTTTTTATAATGTGTGATGACGGTGAATGCATGAATAGGGTTTATTAATCAGTAACAAAGGGAATTAAAACTATAATTACTCAATATGTATCAAATATTCCTCCTCAACCTACTCAAATAATTAGTTTTATTGTAATATATATTTATTAAGTATCAAGAGTAGTCACGCTCTCTTAAAAATCTCTGCGGTGGTGTCATGTGCGTCGGGTCGTTGTTTCCTCAAATATAGTTGAGCGAAGCGATGTCTGGCTCATGCTTCAAGCTCGTCAACGGGTGCTGCCAGTGGGTGAGTCTGCACTGGACTGACTACTTATTTCGTCCATTTTCTTTTATTATGAATATTAAGTATTAGTAATCGTTCCTTTACACAGAACATAAACTTACCATTCAAATATATTAAAATTCTTTTGAAAATTAGAAATGATGAGAAACATGAAATGATGTAATATTTATTAATTTCCAATCTCAATTTACTTTTATAACGTCAGAAACAAAATTTGAATTAGTATCATAGACAATATCCAAACATCGCGAGTGACATCTAGTACGATTTCAAGAACTAATTTTATTTTATAAATACTTCCTCATTCAATATATAGAATTTAAAATATCAAATTGTTTTATTTTTTTAATATGTTAGTTAAAAGGAATGGTCCATTCGTTTCCTGCAAATATCGACTTTTGCTAGAGTCGCCATTTCATTTCCCGGGTGGATATTTGAGAGACCCAAAATTTATGTCTCATAGGAATACTCCTAATTAGTGAAGTATTTTAAGATGCAGTGTATCGCGTTTAGTACTCAACTAAGTAACGAAAAAGCAATCGGGAGCATTTTGGGATAAAATAATAATAAAAAAAGATATTGAGAAATAACTGCCAAAATTACGCTAATTCGCAATGTCTCCACAGGACGTTTTCTGCTGTTTAATCTTGATAATAATTATTTATTAAAGTATATTTTATTATGTGAACAAATTAATTGAGTACCCTAATAAACCTTCCTTTTCGTGAATAAATCGATTTTGTATCTTATCCAGAAGTAAGTTATAGGTTCAACCAAATAGTGATCAAAAACCAAACGTCATTGCGTGCAACACTTTTTGTTTCCCATTTTGTGGTAAAACTAAACGCACTGTGAGTACGTGTGTCACTGCAATGTGACCGCCCCCCGCTTCAGTCACGCGTTACGCATCGGAAGGACACCACGCGCGTACGCATATTTCACGGTAAGTTGTTGAAAATGGTTCTCCAAAATGTGTTATTTTTATCGTCATCTACATTTTTGTTTACATCTCGGGACTTCATGTGATAAATTGCACGTTATCAAGCGTATGGACGAGCCGGTCGGTGGTTTATTTACTGTAATACTCAATTTTCATTTATTGTGTGGTTTTTAGACATGTTCTGACATGTTTTTCTTATTCATCATTGTTTGCAACGTCATTGTAAGCAACATGGTAAAAGGTTACAATGACGGGCGTTGAAGATAATGACGGAACGTGTTGAGAATAATGACGATTGTTGCGAACAATGCCGACTACGTACAAAAATGAAGATATTTGATAACGATATATTATATAAGATAACTGTAATATCCTAGGGGGAGAACAAATATTCACATTAGTTGCAAATACCCCATAGTTGTAATTACCCCGCCCAATCTTATGAAAAAAATTAACAAAACATTATTTTACAGGATTCCTTTTGAGGAGGCTCTCAGGACTCTGAACTGTTTGATGGCCTATGCTATGTTGAAGGTGAAGGTATGCTGATTGACTAATATTTTAAATACAAAAGTTGTCTGGTTAAAATGCCCCCTAAACTGAAAAACACAAAAGAAAAACGGTTGGCCCAACAAAGGTTATGCCATAGACGGCGAAACGCTGAAATAAAAAATGACCCAGAATTGCTTGCCATATCAAAAGAAAAAAGAAAAGCAAAATATCAAAAGGACAAAGACGACAAGAAAGTAAAAAGTATTTCAGAACAGTCATCCCGCGCTCAAAAAGAACAACGAAAGAAATGGAAAGAAAATTCTAGAAGGTAAAACATAGCAAATTATACTAGTTAGTAAAGACTAACCTCATAATATAAATGACTATATTTGAAAATTGGTGCATACGTACTACCTAAACTTAACCTAATTATACCAAATGCTTTATACTAATCATTAGTCTAACTAAACTTACAATCGTAGGCACCCTATCCTGAAATGTTTAATATTTTTATACTGTTAGATACTCAAATATATCTTTTTTTCAGATACAGGCAAAAGAAAAAGGCAGAAAAGTCACTCGCAGCGCCGGTGTTTGAACCAATACTAGTCGAAGCAGTTACTGATGACCAAGGTGTGACTGGTGTGAGCAATGCTCAAGGTAAAGATCCTTTGACGTGCCATCATGTCAAATGTCCGGCAGTTAAAGCAGCAGTTTACAAGGTTCAAACCGCAGAATTGAGGAAAAGAAAACGATTGATCAAAATTATCTCGACATATGATAAAAAGTACAAAGCAAGCCGTTAAGAAGTTCAAAGATTGAAAGAGAAACTGAAAATAAGACCGCTGGAGGATAATGTGGATGACATGCCGCTAAAAGATGTTGATGGTGGCCAGATTAAAAAAGCGGAGAAAATATTAAACGGACGCATCAAAGATTTTTACTTAGATGACGCGAATAGTGTCGTATGTCCTGGTAAAAAAGAATTTATTACGAAAAACCAAAATCGGATGCAAATAAGGTATTTGTGCCAACCTTTAAGCGAGTTGTACAAAAAATTTCGATCTGAGACAAAATTGAAAGTTAGCTACTCATTTTTTGTAAGCTTCGGCCCTTTTGGGTACTTTTCCCAAAAATTGTGAACAGAGAGACTTGTCAGTGCTCCGTTCATGGTAATATAGACTTGCTTATCGGAGCTTTAAATAAAGCGTCAATAATAACAGAGAAAAACCATCACCAGGTCCTGTCTAAAATATGTTGCGATTCCAGAAACACTGACTGCTTACAAAGATCTTGTACCTCATGCAAATCCCATCACCTAAAATACAATGCGCAGGAAAACACTAAAGTGACATTCTACGAATGGACAAAAGTAACCAGAGAAGTAATCCTAAAAAATAAAACCAAGAAAAAACAAATTTTAACAGAGAAAACGGAAAAAACTGTTAGCTCTACAGAAGCAATTGCCAAACTGGAAAAAGACTTATCAGTATTTTTAACACATACTTACAAAATAGTCCACCAATACCAAGCCACAAAAAATCTAAAAGAAAACCTTAACATCCATGAAGCATGCATTCATGTAGATTTTTCAGAAAACTATTCCTTAAAATACGCAACCGAAGTTCAATCTTTCCATTTTGGGGGAAGTAGGCAGCAAGTATCTTTGCACACCGCAGTTACATACGCACATAATTTTCATACAGGACAAGTCACTTCATCAGCAATGTGCACAGTCAGTGAGTGTTTGCGTCACGACGCTCCAGCAGTATGGGCTCATTTAGTGCCTTTAATAGAGGAAGTAATCAAATTGAACCCGTTGATTGACACTATACATTTTTTGTCAGACTCGCCAACGTCGCAATACAGGAACAAGTACATTTTTTACCTAATTGGGGAAATATGTAAAGATATCCCCCAGATAAATCGATTGACGTGGAATTATTCAGAAGTCGGGCATGGCAAGGGTGCTCCTGATGGAGTTAGAGCCACACTGAAAAGAACAGCCGATCGAATGGTTCTTTACGGGAAAGACGTGGCAACTTTTGATCAGTTCTATGATTTGATTTCCAATGCTATAGAGAATGAACAGTTAAATATCATGGTGAAAAAAGTTAACGAAAAAGATATAGAACTGAAAGACAGCCTCATACCGAAAAGCATTAAACCATTCAAGGGCACTTTTTCAGTGTACCAAGTTCTGTGGGATAAATCAAAGTCAAAAACAATTTTAAGAACAATGAGTTGTTTCGAATGTGACGAAATTTGTGGACATGGAAAACATTTGGGATGCATTGAAAATATACCTGCGTTGCAAAAGAAAATTGCCCCGCTAAAAGAAAATATTGATCCTGAGTCTAATGAACCGGACGTGACCATTACGAAGAAGCGGAAATGTAACGAGATAAAAATTCTTTCCGACATTGTTTTAAACAAGAAAACTTATCTTAATGTCAGTGCAAAACCATCGACATCCAAAGGCAAAGCGGATTTTTAATTAATAACTAAAGTATTTGATGTTCCTACTTCACGTGATTAAAGTTTAAACAAAGTAAAAACCAAATATAGTTACGTTTAGTTGTTAAGTTGCGATTAAAATAATGGTCAATGATACATAATTATACTTAGATAACCTAGTGTTTTTAAGACCAGGGTGTGACTTCACATCAGATCCTAGTCAATTAAACAAAAAAAAAATAGTGGTTGACAATCAAAAATTTAGTTCCTTGCTTACCAGTATTATTAATCGTGCTCTCAGTATTATTAATCAAAAATTGCTCTCAGACAGATCTGGTGGCGCGATTAATTAGGGAAACTAAGATTTGTGTTTAACTTAGAAAAGTGCTAAATATTATTGTCATCTAATGTTTGGAGAATAATGGTTTGTGAGAGTTAATTATTATTAATTTGTAAGGGGTAATTGCAACAATGGGGTAATTACAACTAACGTGAATCTCCCTCTAGGATCACGTTTTTGAAGATCCGCAACCTTTATATTGTGCCTCATTTTAATAGTCTCGGTTCCAAAACTCTACGGCTCTACGGAGTTATTCTTATTAGTTGCAATTACCCCTTAGTTGCAATTAGCCCGCCTAACTTTTGTCGTGTATCGTTCTTACAATTGATGGTTGGAAGTAAGTCTGATATGGAAATTGGTACAAACTTAAGTTAATTTATCGAATAACTCAGCATGTGAAATTGATTGAGGTAGTACTATAAAACGAACGAACGAATCTGTCCTAAAAAGGATCGGGCGTAAACAAAATCTGAACTTAATTGAATAAATGTTAAGGATTTAGGCATTTATTTGTTTAAGGTCAGATTCTGTTTAGGTCAGATCCTGTTTAGGACAGATTTGGTTTACGTGAGATTTTATAATTTTTTTTTCAGATTCCTACTGAGGTTTTTTATTTAATTCATAAATTTGATTTTGTACTGTGTTTTAAAAATTATAATTAGTTATGAGTAGGTAATATAACTTGTAACAGTAGGAATTTTATTTTCTTATGACACTGTTCTACAAGAACATTTTTTCCTAACCAGATTACTAATCAATATTATATTGTGTAGTACGACTCTCTAGGAAAAGAGATTTATGTTTGTTATGAAAAGTTTTTATTTGTTGAGTTATCATGGTAATAGAGATGAAACCCTTTAAATATATATTGCGAATCTTGTTGATTTTGGGAACAATAATAATTTGATTATTAAGATAGTTGTTTCATTGCTTTCATTTTTCCTGGTCGCGATCTGGATATATACCTACTTTACACACACATTAGTAAAATAATAATTCAATTGTGAATCTAAGTAGGCATATTTAGATTCATAATTGAAGGATTCGTCATTGTCTGCAACACATTGTCATTCTGCTCAACAGTAATCGTCATTGTTTTCACCAAGTCGTCATTGACAGCAACACCATTTTTTTAATATTTCAAATATTTTTCAAACTGCAGGTTTGATTGGAGTATTTTTTGCACAAACATGAATATTATAGGCAAAACTACTGTTTTAGCTTATACTAGGAGCGCAGAACCCAGGTTGATATGAAAGACATCGTGTTGTATGGAGTGGAGAATGTTTGAGGAGAATCACCCTCCCCCGGTATGGTCGCAACCAATAACAGTGCTGTTTACCGACATGCGACGTCACACGTAATTAGGAAGCTATCATGTCAAAACAGTGTTACTAGAGATACGAATAATTTGTATATATACAAACAATTTATAACTCATTTTTATGAATAAGACCAGATATAAATACAAAACAAAATATAATTTCAATTTAATTTTGGTAACACTATTTGTAATGTTTACTTACCGGCATGTGACGTCCGTCACAAATGGCCCTTTTGGCTATTTAAACTTTGAGTGTTTTTATAATTTATCAAACAACTATTTAAAATAGTTTGCAAAAAGCTTCAAACACCATTATCTAAGTAGTTTAATCGGCCACCTTCGGGGCCAGCGAAGGAACTTAGTTACAAAGTACTTTATAGCTATAGTACCAAATCTTGATTAGGCTATAGTTTTTTAATAGCAAGATTAATGAGGAAATATTAAAAAACAAAAATCCCGACTGCGTAAAAACAAATTTTAAAAAATACATGCAAAAATTAACTTAAATAAAAACTAAAAAGAAAGAAACAAGCCCAGTACTTTAGAATTATGTTAAGTAATACTAAATAAATACACAATTGAAATAGTTTTATAATCGATACACACATAAAACAAATAATAAATTCTTATGCAGAGCAGAACGACTACTGGGCTTGTTTCTTTGTTTTTAGTTTTATTTAAGTTAATTTTAGTGACACTCGCAAGGTTAAGACGAATCGATTGACGTAAGAATCATCAAAATCGGCCTACTCATTTGGTCTCTAGAACGCCACATAGAAACAAACATACATACATACGTAGACTGAGAAACAGATTACCCTCCTTTGCGTCGCGCAGTCGGGTAAAAAAAAAGAAAGCACTAGAGTCGCCTAGCAAAAGTTGATTTTTACAGGAAACTAATGGACCAAAGACAGTCATTTCCGTTCTTTTTAACTAAAATATTAAAAAACTGAAAAATGCAAAGTTCGAAACTTACACATCAATACAAATACGAAAAAGTACAATTAGGATATGAGTAGTTTATTGAGTTTTGAAAACTAATTTATTTTTATACATGAAAGAAAACCGGAAGGGTTGTCTTGGAGAAATCAAGAAATTACCGTAGCGACATCTAGTTTCATTCCGGGAACAATTTTTTTAAATACTTCCTTATTTTTGACATATTGTTTCTTTTGAGTAAAATAAGGAATGGAATTTAGCATTTGAAGAAATTACGGCTATCCATAATTAAATAAAAAGTACTTTTGACGGCACCGATTGGTTATTCGTATAAATAATTTTACAATATAAATTGTAGTGGAAATGTTTGAAAAAGAGAATGAGATGTGTTATATCTAAGGTTTTATCCTTGATTTTTCGATGTTGTCTGTGAATTCATAAGTTTCTGAACGTCTTCTTTTTGACCGTTGTGCTTTACGAGGAAAAAGTGACATTTGAACGAAGAAATCAAAAAAGATGAGAGAAATGATAAAGTCAAAACAAAGTTCCTGTTTTCAAAAGAATTAATTAGATTGTTGGGTTGAATATTTCTTAATAGTAAATTGGGTTCATAATGACGCTTCTACAGAAAGATTTTATTAAGTCACCTTGATTTTATAGGTAGAAATAGGCGTTTCTAAGTGATATTCCCTTGTTCTTTGTTGAGCTTTTAATTCTTAATAAAATGAGTTCTTCCGATATAAATTTAATAGAAAGACTACGGAAAGAAAATCTAGATCAATTTTTCACCCTAGTTCGTATGCATTTATCGTTCGTCGTAGATATTAACACAGATGAGTAAGATGAATTTATATCCCTATTTAAATTAAATTGAAAATTATTTTCTTTCTTTACGTTTCTTAAATTTTATACATTTCAGTGTTGATTGTTCATCAGACAAGCCAAAGCAATTTCGCTGGAATTTCCACAAAAAATCGAAGAACTCTAGTTCTGCTTCTAGTCAAAATAATGTCAATACTATAAAAGGTTCAGCTGATACGAATTCTATAACAGAAGAAGGTATTTTGCGGCTAAATGAGTTGATAGAGTTTCTATCGAAACCTGAAAGTGAGTATAGTTTTTATTTAAAATGCCAATTATATACATTCATAACATCTTTGGCTGGCAATAAAAATGTATGCACGAATATTATCTTCTCTCAACTTAGTAAAGGTGTTTTATTACCAAATTAATGCCAATGGCACCATTGCCATTATTATTCCTTAACACCCTTTAAACTAAACACAGAAGATTCTAACTTTAATTTGGATTTGTTTTAACTTTATCATGGTAGTGATAGATATATAATAGAAAAAATATATATACTTGTATACTATTAAATGATAAGTTTTCTTCTGTTATCTTAGTTATTTTCACTTAACTAAACAGTCTAGTTTATACAACAGAATTGCTACTAATGCTATACAAGAAATGGGGAAGAACTAAAAGTGATCAGTGTAGAACAAAGTAAAGAATTATAAAGACCTTGTATTGTAAAAACATCATAAGTACTACTACTAATTATATCTTCATGCCATATCCCATGTGCTATCTCTGCCTAGCCGGCAGAGTGCAACAATGTGTGGTCCTTTACAATGTACTAATTCATTTTTATATAATAATCATTTCAGATGTTACTCAAGAGGGTATATTTCGTCGTACTGGATCTTTGAGCAGGCAACAGGAGCTCCGTCAGCTTCTACATACCGGTTCAAACCTTGGCCTGGAAGAAAGCAAGTTCTCTGTGCATGATTGTGCTTCAGTATTAAAAGGATTTCTTGCGGAATTACCTCAGCCTCTTCTTATGGATCAGTACTATCAAACTTACTGTACATTAGCTAGTGAGTAATAAGCTGATATACAAATATAATTTTAGTATTAAAAAAATATATTATTAGGAACTTTGTACTACCATATTTTATTTCTCTAGTCATAACTACTGATTTTTTAATATCAATTTTCTTAAATACAAACTTTGTCCTCACAAGGTTTGTATATAAGAAATACAAGGAATACATAAAAAAAGAATCATAAAATTATTTTTATATAGTATTAAGTGGCTTAAAACTTCAATCTGCTTCGTTGAATACAGGTGTAGACAGTAAACAAAAATATATATAATTTTTTTCTGGTAGTGCTTAAATTAATTATGTAAAAACAAATATTTTATGCTCCTTGTCAAGTAACAGTAAACAGCCCGTGACGTCTCAACCCTCTTATTTTTATCAGAACTTAGACAATGCAACTTTATGCATACATAGAATGGTATTTGTTTCAGAGTGCCGTGACGTCATAGCGACGACATGACAGATGTGGCTAATATTTATTAAACATTGTTGATATCTGCTTGCATAAAGAGTATCTCATTTCTTTTTTCATAGCAACCTATATATTGTCTACATTAATATTACACCATTCGAAAGCTACATTATCCATGAGAAACATAAGCTATATTTTATTTTAGAAAAAAATATGGTTCCGTAAGATATTCGGATTTTTCGGACACAAGGTGTCAACAAATAAATCAACCAGAAAAGTTACTTATTTAGCATACGCTGCTTAAACTATAAAAGATAGAACCATAAAATGTTCTAATTATCTCTTATGATCTTATAAATATCTACAAAAAAGTCTGCGACACATTATACCTATTTATGTCGAGTGAGGCTAAACAACCATTGTTTTATTAAAAAATCTTGATTCTTTTTTTTGGACTACATTTGAACTCGTTTATTTTACTCATGCTATTAAACCTTATCAAATTTCATCACAAACAGTTTATGTAGATCATATTTGGTCTTTGAATGATTAAAATTGGACGCTTGGTTTTGAAGTTGTGACAAAATTAAAATATTACAATTTCCGCTGTGTATGATAAAGTAGAAATATTTAATTTATGTTTGTTTCCAATGAATAGGCTTCGAAACTACTGGACTGATCTTAAAATTTCTTTGTTTGACAGTACTGTAAAGAAGTTGTGTTGGTTGAAAGTGATCAAACACTTGATTAACTTAATTTTATGTCATGTCTTGAGATTTTCTCAATCCTTGTCAAATAATAGTCCAGTTACATTAATTAATATGTTACCAGCACAATACCCACCGAATGCCGAATCATCAGAAGCCAAGCTGTTGATTGCTTTGCAATTATTGTTGCTGTTACTCACACCGTCACATAGAAGCTTTCTCGAGAGGTTGCTCGAGTTGCTGAGATTAGTTGCTGATAATGAAGCATCTAACCGAATGTCACCCGATACTCTGGCTACTATGTTCACGCCGCATTTACTGTGTCCCAGAAAGGTATAAAACTGTTTTATATTTAGACCTGGTAAATTCATGCAGATATTACCCATCTTATTATAAAACTAGGATTTATGTGAAAACTTGGTTTAAACCATTGGTCACCTAAAGCTAATTGACAGTGACAAAGGAAAAACATCAAATTGAGATAAAGTGAATTATTTTGATCAGAAAGCTCCTCTTAAATATTAGTTTCATATTGAAAATGTTCACATTAGGGTAATCTTTTAACATTTTATTACCTTATGTACTGGCTCTACATACATGATCATAATAAACATGATATTTTAAAATTGTTGCACTGTTTAATTTTTTTCCTAGATATTTATACTAATTAGGTTGACCGGACTGCGGCCGTTTGGTCGACCCAAATATGCGTTCTTAGCACTCTGATCTTCCCCTATTAAATTGATTTGTTCGAGCCATTGGACTGATTTCTCCGATTATGTTCACCTTGGATACAAGGTCTTCAATTTTGGAATTTTTGCCGACTCTTAACACCTATCATTTCCTTTTACTGGAAAATTATTGGAAATATTAATTGTAATTAGCATGATTAATTTTCAGTTGTCTCCTGAGCATTTCCACAGTGACTCCATAGCTCTCGCGCCGGTGATAAGTTTCATGATTCGTCACTCGTCGCGTTTGTTCGAGCCCCCCTCGCGGCTCGTGACGGACGCGGCCGCTTACTTTACCGTGCGCGAGCGCAGACGCGCTCTGTCGCCTGACGTGGACTTGGATGAGAGTATATCTGATAGGTGAGTGCCATTACAATATGGACTGTGATAAGAGTATATCTGACAGGCGAATGCCATTCAAATATGGGCTTGGATGAGAGTATATCTCATAGGTGAGTGCCATTCAAATATGGACTTGGATGAGAGTATATCTGATAGGTGAGTGCCATTCAAATATGGACTTAGTAAGAAATATGTTGTGTTGAGAAGCTCGGCTTTTTATAATAATTTGAGATCTCTGTATGAAAAGGAAATATTTTTTATTTCTTGCGTTTTTAAATTAATTATGGCGATACATGAAGATCTTTATAAAGAAACAATCTTTATTTGCCTCCTTGTTTCGAAAACTAAACAAAAATGATATATACGTGGAAAATGCATCTTAACCCCATCTATCATAAATATGAATTTTAAGTTAGGCAGTGAATCAGTACAAGTTCTGATTTGGTTTCTGCATGCACAAAACATCAACTAGCACAAACATTCTAAAATTCAGAAGTGCCGGAAGACAAAACAATTCTAGGCATAGAGATGTACAGTTTGTTATCAAAAGGGATACATGGGTTAATAGGCAGTTTTGTAATACAAATTATAGGAGTATATTATTATTTGTACTAATGAATTTCATTGCTCGGTCACTCCGTCTGCGTTACATAGGATGGGTGACCGAAATTTTATTATCTCGAGCTCCTTCTTACTTCGGAAGGCACGTTAAGCCAATGGTCCTAGCTCATCAGCAGTCGTTAACACCCACCAATCCGCACTAGACTCTAGTGGTGGGTCATCGCCCATTCTCTCTATTCGATTTCATCCAACAGTGGGGAAATTATAGGCAGGTGATATTGTATTATTAAACATGTGTTTATTTGTGTATATTCGTTGTAGAACGGCGGCGAACACGGTATATACGTTCGTGGATCGTCGACGAACACGTGCTGAGAACGAAACTAATCCAACTGATACTGCGCTCGCGCAGCTATACGCACACATACAAGCGTTACCAGATTCACACCACAAGCGGAGACTCATCAAACACTTCAACCGGCAGAACGGATATGGTGATTGTACATTTATTTCCGAATAATAAATAAAACTTTGAGTAGCTCGATGGCGTAGTGATAACGCGGCCCGGGATCGTTGTTAAGCAACTCCCGCAAGGGTCTGTCACGGGATGGGTGACTAGATAATTATCTTGAGTTACTCCGTGTTTCGAAAGGCACGTTAAGCCGTTGGTCTGGCTGCATTTGTAGTCGTTAAGACTCCATCAATCCGCATTGGGCTACCATGGAAGGTCATAGCCCATCCTCCTCCATAAGGAAGGCCTGAGACCCTGCAGTGGGGATGTAAAAGGACTGTTGATGATGATGATGACTTATAAATAAATATCAGACAATGTCGCATACATCTCAAACCTCCGTGTTATGGAGTATCTGAGACAACGAAGATTTTCTACATTGACCTGACCGGAAATCGAACCTAGAACCTTAGTGATGGCAACGTCTTGAAACCGGCGTTCGAATCATTCGACTACAGAGGTCTTTCAAAGAATAATATAAGGGCCTGTAATTTAAGTGCTTTCTATTTAACTTTCGGCGTATAAATCCTTTTTCATTGCGGTGATTCTTAGCTATTATTTTAATTATTTGCACTTACATCATTAGAGTGTGTTAATTAATAGGCTGATTTGAATAAAGTTTTTTTAATCAATGACCTCTTTTGTCGAGATATTTTTTTCATTTACTAGAATTCAGTGACAAAAAAATTAAATAATAATCAATTAAACAAAAAAACACTAAAAAGTCTATAAAATTAACTTTTTTAGCCTTCTTTGTATAGACATAATTTTTGGCTTAGCAAAATAATTTTTTTTTTTAGGCACACCTATTCAAATACAACGAACCGGTAAAGCGGCTGGTTCGCGTAGTTTCGGAGATTCTATTAAACGGCACATATTTAATAAGGGACTATTGAATAAGACCCCGAAGAAGGGGTCTACTATAGATACAGTGGAGGAGGTGAGTGGTTTATGCAAAAGTATACTCTATGTGCGTTATGTGATAGTCCTGTTTTGTATGCATTCGGGCTGAGGAAGTGTCATGTGTCGATTTTTTGAAGACTTATTTATTATATGTAATTATTTTGTTTTTCAATCTAGACATAGTAGCACACTAGATTATAACAAAATGCTGAATATACGGATTGATTATGAATTTAGCTTTTATCACTTTAAAGCTCAAAATCAACTGCAGTATTTTGACTTAGGATAACCTTTGCCGTAATCGAATTTGTGGCTTTTAATAGAAATAATAGAATTTCTAATTTTGTACTTTAGTTTAACAGTTTATATTGTAGAAATATGAAATTAATTTGATAACACGAAAGCAAACAATAAAGTAATATTTTTTTTTGTAAGGTATACTTTCGTGTTATGATTAAAATTCGTTTTTATGAACATGAGTCTGTAAATTTACATATAGTCTGTGAAATAGATACACGACATTGGCTTCCCTCTCCATTATCTAACCATGCATCATGATGTCTGAATCAGTTTCTCTAATAACAAGTCTGTCTGTCCTAACTTTCTCCATGTGCTAAACGCATGCGCTTATTACAGAAATCGAGTAAGAACAAGTTACGTTACACGGATGACAGTAAAGTCGACGTGTCACACAAAAACATAGTACTAAAGAATTTAGCCAACAAAATAGCTAGCACGGCATATTTAGACGAAGATTCCGATTCGGATTCGAGTAACGACAGCACTGTGTCCGAAAGCGCTTTGAACACATCGAGGAAGTTGAGTCCGAAATTTGTTTCGGAGCCGAACTTGAGCGTCTTGGACGCCGAAGAGACGCCGAAGAATACAAAGAAACGGGGCTTGTTCCGTTCTAAATTGCTTTCGGCCTCGCAAAACGTGAACAAGAAGTATAGGAAACGCAACGTCATACGTGGTACACCTACTTGCGTATCGTGTTTAGAGGACGATTCAGCGGAAGACAGCGACGAAAGCGATGACAAGATCCCCATTGCGGAGACGCCAAAGGAAACGCGACTCTGTGATAAGGAGATAGAGTTGAAAATGCAATATTTGACTAGTACGCCCGGTTTGTCCGAAATAGCCGTATTCGACGATGAATGCGTGACGCCGTTCGGTGTTAACTTTAGAAGAGCATCGATGTCGCCTATAACGAAGTCTACGCAGAAATTGTCTAAGGCCATGCAGGTTTGTCGTGTCACGCATCTCGCTTTATTTGTGTCATGCTTTTACATGTTTCTATTATAATTAATACATGCATCATTTTACATAAATAAATCAAAACATTCACTATCTTAAGGAGACTTGATCGGAAAAGGCTATTACACTTTTTGTCGTACAAAAATAAAAAAAAATGGATGACTTATACTGTTTTTCTTTATATGCAAGATATTTGACGAATCTACATAATAGTTATGATGACTAAATATTTTTTGTATTTCCGTCTGGTAGAATGCAGAATATTAAACACAATTTTTTTTTTAATATGGATTGTCACGCTTTTGTATATTTTATATAAAGCTGTGACGTAATGAGCCCCACTCCTCAACTTTAATGCCTATTATCTATGCCATTTGTTGTTAAACTAAATTTTTATTATATAACGGACGGACTGAATAGAATTGCTCTTTTTTACCCAGTCATCCCTTTTTCGAAATTAAGAATGTCTGTCATTAAATATTTAAAAAAAATCATCATCAATCACTAGCACATGTCAAATGTAAAAGTTGTAGTGTGAAATTCGTGAATATCTTTTAAATGTCAAATTGTACAAGATAGCGATGGATTTTAATTAGATAATTAGCAAAGGATATATGATGAGGCATTCCATACATATATTGAAAGTCAAATTATAAGAATACAAGTCCTGATTCAGTAGTTTTTAGTTATTATATTTGATCAATTATTATATTTGATAAGCGCCGCGCACTCGATCGTTGTCGTTAAGCAACTCTCGCAAGGGTCGGTCACGGGATGGGTGACCACAAAAATTATTATCTCGAACTACTTCGTGCTTCGGAAGGCACGTTAAGCTGTTGGTCTCCGCTGCATTTGTAGTCGTTAATACCCGCCAATCTGCATTGGGATGATGATGAATTTTGCATTCACAACATTATTCTGATAAATATATTTATTGAAAAATGCTTAAAAAATCCACCAGCACCAGATACCCAAACTCGCAATAATCCGGGCGATTGCTCTAACCATTCAGCTACCCGAGACAAACAGGACTGACGAATTTCAATCACTTGTTATCTTTTGCTATTAGTAAACTTATTTTCCAAGCCGAGAGTAGCTCAATGTTTAGAGAAGTCACCCGGATTGCGATAATTTGTGGATTGGAGTCCCATCTTTTTTAAGCATTTTTCAGTAATTATAAAATATCGGTGTTTAAAACATAAATTCATATATTACAGGAGTCTATAATGACGCCTCGGTCGCGTAAACCTCTTATAATAACGTCCGAGCAACGTGACAGTTTGCCAGATACTAATAAAAATAATGCCGAATCGACGAAACCTGACGATGTATATCAATCGATGTCGCCTAACAACGATAGCGATTTTGTGTCTTCAGATGACGATGTAATGTCCAGATCTACGAACTCGTGCGAGAGGTAAGTTTTCGTTGAGTATGTTGCCACTAAAATTAATATTGAGTTTAAAAATAATTCATATTCCTGTGGGGTCTCGCCTTAAATGATAACTGGCATTTAATGCTTGAACGATAATAATAACGCTCGTTTTCACTAAAAATAGAAGTCGCCTACATATTTAGGAAGCGCCTAAGGTGAAAATACATTTCACTTATGACTAGGAACAACCTAGCGACATTAACTAATATCTAAAGTTATGCAATATGCGGTACCTTACGCTAGGCATTTATGTAATATGATAGATTAAATATATGTCAAGGCATAAAAGAAAAAATGTTTATTTGGAATTCAACGAATCTGCTTTATAAGTGATTCGTAAGATTAGGCGTTTCCTACTTTAACTATGACTTATTTAATATTAGTGAAAATGCGAGTTGGACTCGCGTCTGGAGGGTTCAGTACTATCCTACTAATATTTTAAAGGCGAAACTTTTGTAGGTTTAGAAGTTTGGATGTTTGTTACATCTACGCGCAAAAACTACTTAACGGATTTCGATGAAATTTGGTATATAAGCAATTCTTAGTCGGGATTAACGTTTAGGCTACTTTTATCCTTCTAAAAGGTTCCCTAGGCATAAAAGTACTTTCAAGGGAGCCTATTTTTGTGAACGCTGCCTTAACGTTAAGAGATACACGGAAGCTGTCTAAAGAAAAGTCGGAGAGCTTTAAATTATCTATAAAAAGTCCGCGATGGCATATATCTTATGTGCTAAGATTTTTTCACAAAAATAAAAATAAATTTTCAAAAGTCTATTTGTTTTTTTTTCCGTCCTTAGATGTCTATTTGAGTAGTTAATATTGAGGTCTTTTCGATATAAATATGCTTATCGTCAAGGAAATTTTATGTATGTAAAAATTGTCTAAAAATCTAAACCCGAATTTGAATTCACTCAAGTGTCAAATTTACTTCAAAAAGCGGCATTCGCTCAATCTTAAATATCGTATCGTGGCATAAGTGAAGTGAGTTTCGAAATGACATAGGAAGAGAATATCTGTGACACGTATCACGTCAATTTTGTTTTGTATTTTTATACAAAAAAAAAAAAGAATCAATATAATTTCTTGACTATATGACGTGAATTCGGATACACGAGGAAGTATTAAAAAAAATGAAAGCACTAGAAAAGCACCTCCACTAGATGGCGACTCTAGCAAAAGTTGATTTTTGCATGAAACGAATGGAACAAAGACCAGTCATTTCCGTTTCTTTTAACTAACATATTAGAAAACTGAAATTTAAGAAGTTCGAACCTTCGATATCAATACAAATACGAAAAAGTACATATAGACTATGAGTTATTTATTGAGTTGAAAACTAATTTACTTTTAAACTTGAAAGAAAACCGGAATGGTTGTCATGGAGAAATCAAGAACGTACCGTAGCGACATCTAGTTTGATTTCGGGAACTAATGTTTTTTTTTAAATACTTTCTCATTGCATTCATGCGACCAATTAATGTATTTATTTAAAAAAATATATTATTACAGATCTCATTACTCATCGTTACCAAAGTCTGGTTTGGAGAGACGTTCATTGTCCTTAGACGACATTAGTCCATTAAGATCGGAGAATACTCGCTTCGTGAATAGTCACGATCGACCTAAACTAGAACACGAACTCAACATAACATTCACAGAAACGGGATTGATACCAAACATCGAAACACAACAGGAACTGACGAATTCTGTGGAGCGAACATCTAAATCATTGACAGTACCGTTCAAAGAATATCTCCTTAGTAGATCAGTGTTGACTGCTACGCCTGTAGATTTATCGATTTTGAACAAATCGAGCGATAGTGATGGGAAAATATCGGATTCCCTATTATACTGTTTGGATGGTAACGTACCATCGGATCTTACTTTATCGATAAGTAATTTAGCTGTAGACAAAGAATCTTTACGTTCGCCGTTGAAGAATATCAATAATATTGTAAATATAGATAAAAGTCCGAATAGAAAACGGTCCGCTAGTTCTTCTTTACCAAAGGATGTTGAGATGGAGAGCAAAAAGATTATTATAGAAAAGAAGAGTTTTGTAACTGAGAATGTGATGTTTAAAATAAGAGAAACTGAGCTTTAATATTATACATATTAGACGACTTCTGATTAAAGATGAAGCAGGCATAAAATTAAGTTCATAATTGGCTGAAAACGATTGTCTTATTTCAAAACCAATTTTTCAATTTTGGCGCTTATTAAAAATTTAGTACTTTTTGGTAACTAAATTTTTAATAGTACTTTTTGGTAACTAAATTTTTAATAGTACTTTTTGGTAACTAAATTTTTAATAAGCGTACTAAATTTTTAATACCTTTTTTTGGTTTGGAAGGCAACTTTATTTTTATTATTCTTTTCTTTATTTAAAATTCTCTGACATTGCCAAATAAATGGCTGATTTAAAAATGAATGCAAGATAATAATAATACAAAGAACATATTTTTAGAAGGTTTGGTAGATGATCTAATTTTATTGTCCAACATTGATTACCATAGCCAAAGCCAAAAAAATTGGTGTCCAAAGCCAAAGGTTTTTCAAGTCGGCGATTCGTTGTGACACCATAAGTATACACTTATCGTATCTCTTTATGGATAGAAGAAATGTGCCAAAAAGCTAAAGTATGAAGGTCAATTAATTGTCGACCTTATTAAATATGACAATAAATGTTTTATGGTTATTTTCATAACAAACAAATGATTAATTGTTAAAGGTAGTTTTTTATTTTTTTTTGTTTGCACATTTTGACAAAAAATGTGCAGTAATATATTTTTTATTTAACTAGACGTAGAGCAAATGAGATTTTTGTAATATTACGGTCAAACTATTTCATTTCACTGTTTTTTCCCGGTCATATTTTCTACAGCTTGAGTTCAGTTTTGAGATCACTATTAATCGAATTCCTTTGCTGACGATAATTTGAAATGGGGTCGGATTATTCGATACGATACTATCACGAGTTCCTGTCTCGCTCATGCTAGTGTTGAATTGCATTGCTGTCTCACTCTATGACTGACCGCTACCGATCCAGAGAGTTTCTGTCTCGCTGACAGTATGAAACTCAAAACTGAACTATATGCTCGAGCTATACCGTGTAAGTTAACATGTAGTTTTATATGCAGAGTGTACCGTATTTCCCTTTTTTATTTAATTTAATACATATAAAGGTGATCACACACCTCTCAGAATGGATCGTTGGGAAGAGAGCAAAAGGAAATAATTTAAGAATTCTATTTATACAATCTGAACCGTCGCATACATACGCATATACGCACCGAATTGTCATAATTGTAATGTCACCTGTCATTAATTTGCAAGGTGTAAAGAAAGTTCGTTTCCGCCTCCTTTGGCTCCGTAGATATGTCCATTCACTATGGTCAGGGGTCGGTAACCTTATAAATTTTTTCTAAAAGAAACCTCTTTGAATATCTATTTTCGAGTTATAATCAGCGTATCTCAATTTAAAGGGTTTCGACGGTGAAATATTTTTTGTAAGTGGAACTCGAGAGGCGCAATTATAGCGAAAGAGCCGCAGGTTGCCGACCCCTGACTGGTGGACATACTAAGGCGCCTAGTAGATTTGATTTTAAATACTCGTTGATTGTAAGTACTCGTACTGTTAAGAGCACTCCGGGTTATTCAAAACATTCAATAGCCTACAATATATTTTTGAATATATTGAAGGTAAACACCAATTTCCACTGTGGAAATTTTAAGGTAACCCGACGTGTTTCTAATGCGTACAAAACTGTTTTTGTCTAATTCGCTGTTTATGAAGTGAAAGTAACTCGCCACACTCGTAATGATTCTTAAATATTTTAACAGTTTGTTGTGTGCGTGCGTCTTAAAGCATTGGCTATTGTCCATGTATTCGCCTGTAATTAAAAAAAACGACTTTTTAGGGTCGGTGCAAAATGGCGGAAGAACGTTTTACGGTAGTTTATGTATATTGATCGGATCATGAAATTTCTTTCTCCTACGAAAAGCTACGACGTACGCGGGTGACATAGCATATAATTTATGCAGGCGAAGTAGCGTGAAAACAGCTAGTGTCATATATTTGTCAGTACTTACGTTCCGCAACTGACGATACGCGACGTGTCTTCCGTTATTCATGCACCGAGCTTTAGATTATGGATACATTTTTTTTAAACTATGTTAAAAGTTCTATCATCTTTCCAGTATGGGATAAAATGAGACTTACTGAAAGTTACTTGTTGAAATGTACCTAAAAGTGCTGATTTACTTGTACTTTATAAATTACCATTCATTTAATTTACTAGATTGCTTTAACTTCTTTTTCCAAATATTTAAGATAATATAATTATTTATGTTGTAGATGACATTTCATAATAATTTTAATAAATGTATCGACGTCCATAATAAAGAGTGCCTTCTATATTTATATGGTTTGTAACTAATTAATACACTCGAAAATGGTTTACATCAGGGCTCGGAAACGTTATTCAAAATAACGTTTTTAAAACGTTTCTTATGGTTTTTGGGCCAGATTGCGTTCGAAACGAAAACGAAATGAGAACGCTTTAAAAAACCGGTTTAAACCGCAAGACGGTGCCGCGCGGGCTGTAAGGGCGGCGTACATTTATTGTATTACGTTATTTACAGTATGCGATGCAAAAAAACGCAAAATAAATGGTTAAAAACGTTTTATTAACCGAAAACAATATAATTCTGTTTTTTTCCAAAACCGTTTTTTATATCGTTCTGTTCGAACGAAACCGAAACAAAGTGTTTTTTAGGTATTTAAGATGAAAACGTTTCGAAAAATATACCGGTTTCCGACCCCTGGTTTACATTGTACTAACATTTGTAAAATATTTTTAAATGATATTGCGTTATGTAAATGCTGTTGCATTTAAATTTATAGGTAAACGTCACAGTGATATGTAATACATTTTTAACTAGTTATTAAAGATTATTACAATATTTGACGTTTTTAATTGATTGCTTCATATTATAAAATCTGGCATTTATAGTTCCGAAAAGTAGTCTTACAGAAAAATAAGACTGACCTCTTTGCTCGATGGTACTCACCACATCACTAAATACACATTTATTTAAACCTTATTGCAGTATAATTAAGTTTAAAATTCATTACCAGATTCTATGCAAAAGTATGAAGTTTTGTTTGTTTCAAAAGAGTAGTTAAAATTGTTTTTTGGTTAATTTGCATCAAAGACAGTCACATTTGTTTTGTGTATTCATTAGCTTCATAATCCTGCATGTTGCTTTAAGCGTTAAGATAGCAGGCACACCGATAATCAGAAATATCTGGAATTGTATTCAAATGGGTGAAATTAAAATCCGTGTTATAGAAGTGTCTATTCAGTCACGATTTTTGACATATATTTCGAACTAATACGAATCTTGATTCTAGTATGCCTGCCAGCTAGACGTGTCTTCTATGATATTTCAACATCTCAACTATGTGTCATACTCAGAATTTTTTGACAAACATAGAACCATCAATTTCGTTGGTGAGCCTGCTATCTTGACGTACACCTTAATTCGCCTGTTATATTGATAAATGGAAACTAAAAACCGATTATTCACTGTTTATTGACATATTACATGGAAGTTGGACGAATCATATCAAAAGTATCACGGCAAAACCTAATATGAGGACGATAGATAGACAACAGCATAATTGGCAGCATAAGCGGTAGAAACAGTTCACCAATCGCTGACTCATTGTCTGGCGATGTTCGCTGAAAAAAAGAAAACACAAATTAGTACTTTGCATCATCATCAACAGCCCTTTTACGTCCCCACTGCAGGGGCTCAGACCTTCCTTATGGATGGTTAAGGAGGATGGGCCATGACCCTCCACGCTGGGCCAATGCGGATTGGAGAGTATTAACGAATGCAAATGCAGCCGGGACCAACTTTTGCAAACACGTGATTGAAAATTTATTATGTCAAGCTCCACCGTGCTTTAAAAGGCGCGTTAACAGTAATCGATCCGCACCTGAATTGCATAATGAGTCATGTATGGAAGACTTGTACCTCACCAGTGGGTATGTTAATAGGCTGGTGACGTATTAAAATATAATTAACAATTTAGCATACTACAAGTATATTTAACAATAATAACAAACAAAACCCATTTGGGTGAAAGATAAACGAAACTTAACCCCACTCAAATTGCTATGTACCTGTTTAAATTTAGTTAGGTAAGTGCTTTAACTTTAATTTGTTATTTTGCAAGATTACATTTAATAAGAGATATTACTGATATCAATTTTACGTCGACCTACTCGAAATATTACTCAAATACAGGTTTACAAGATAAATAGCAAATTAAATTTAGTTGGATACAAGTTATAGGTACCTACTGATGTATTTTTTGTCGATAGGCATCGATGTGAACATGTTATTGAGGGTTAGATTTGTTTAATGACATTTGAAATGGTTTTGTTTGGAAAATTGTTATTCAATACAATGTTCCGAACGATGGTTTTAAGAGTGCGGGTGGCCTAAATGATCGCCAGCCTTTGTAAGAAGTCTGCACCATAAGAAGAAAACAGTGTTCAACGAAAATAGCTTTGTAACACGATGTAAGTATTTCTGGAGACACCATGATTTATATTATTATCAGGTTTATTTAAATTTTCTTAAAACTTTCTCAAACTAAAATTTCATTTATGGAATTTTAGTTTTCACTTAAGTATCTACTCCCTTTAATTAACATATGTAATTAAACTAAGAGTTACTGGTGGTTGGCACTGTACTGCGATTTGAGAGATTTGCTGCCGTTTGTACATGTGAATTTGTGTACGGGCGGTTCATAGCAAGGGTCTTATTGTTTTATAAGTCATTCCCTTTCAATTCAAGGGTATACACAAACTTCACGCCATAACTATTTTATTTGTGCGTCACTACGCTATGCACTCATAGCGATTGCGATCTCGACGGTTTTCTTAGACATTGAATGAAAGATAACGTTAATTGCAATTATTTACACAAAGCAAAAAATGAAATCGAAACACAGTTTTCAAGCTTATGAGAAATTTCAAAAGAAAGAGTTGTACCTCCTCTAACTGCAATATTTCGAAGAGTTTAATTTTTATTATGTTTCTTGGTCGTTCCTGAATGCGATAAACCTTTAAAAATTACATAATTCTATAAATCGCTATATCCAGGCCTGTCTTAAGCCATCAGGAGCCCGGGTATAAGCAATGCGCTGGCGCACCCTCCCCTTAATTATAGGGAAAAGGTTTGAAAAAAAAATTACACACATTTAAAAAAAAAACAAAATTGGTGGTGTGAAAGCGGCGGCTATTTCATAAGACTCGTTGTTCAGCGTCAGCGGTGAAATATATAAAAAAATTTACATCGGGGCGCATTACCGAAGTCATCGATGAGTAGGTACTACAAGATTAGACCATCATCTGCATTGCACCCCCTGCACCGTGAGTAAAGACGGGCCTGGCTATACCTTTGAAATGGATGCGATATCTTTTAAAATTAGGTCTTGTGGATACCTACTGACTGAGTGTGGAAGTTGCCAGATATAATAGTTTCACAGTTATAACAATGGACTTTCACAACGCCCGCGTCTAGTAAATATTTACCTAAGTTTATAATTTATACTTCCCGATTTCGAAAAAAAATCCTTGTTTAGTCAGCCGTACCTGACTGACGTATTTTTGTCATCTTCGGCTCCAAAAAAATTTGTGACAGCTCTCTTTCTTTGTAAGTGCGTTCTAATAAATTCTATTTTCTTTTTCCCGTATACTCTTTTAGGTCGACCATGTGTTATGCACAACTTTGGAGGACCTAGCATTTTATTATTAAGTTAAATTATTTAAAATCCTGCAAACTTACAATTTTTTAACAGTCACATATTTCGATTGAGCTTTCGGTTTGGCGATTATCGCTTTTCCTTGGCGGATTTTTTTCACTTTCTTATTCGGTTCGAATGTTTGTGTAACAACTTTATGTTGGTGTTTTCTTTTAAAGTCTTGTTGGTGCTGTTGTTGCTTCAATAACCGCTGGAGGAATTCCTCTTCCCTCACCCGGTTCGCTTTTGATATCGTATCTTCTTCGATTCTTTTCAGTTCCTTCTCGTGTTCGGTTTGCTGACGCTTCAAGGCTTTACGTTGTTTGTACCGGTTGTACAATGTTCCTTTAGAGTGCTTCTCATATTTGTCTTTGTTGCGGAACGCTTTATTGCTTTCTGTCGCTCTATTAACGGTAACCGGTGTTTTATATTTGTAATTGCTGATAACTATGGGAACTGTCAGTCTGTGTGGCTCTTCCAAGTAGATTTGGGGTCTGGAACAATGGAAACTTGATAGATAAATTTATTTCAAGATTGAAAACGGTGGTAAAATAAATTGTAGCTTTCAGAACTAGACTTTTTTATTAGCTCTTTTACGCAAGTGAACAGATTTACGCATTTTTTTAAATACTCCTAAGCTACTGGACTGATTTTAAAAATTATTTCACTTACGGTTTTGTATGATGAAGCTACATCATACAAGGGAGACGTAGGCTATAATTTAAGTGGCGAAGCGGGAAAACAGCTAAATGTATTACTTATTTTTGTCATGTTTTGTCCTGTCATGTTTTACTAAAAGTTACTTATGACTATTGACGAAAATATATCAAAAACATAAAGTAAAATATCCGTTTAATTCATTTAAACTAAAGCAGGAAGATAAGATTGGTTTTAAAATATATATAATGTTTATTTTGCTGCTATATCGTACACAAAAATATAGTAAGATGACATTTCCTCCGCAGCGACTAAATTCAATTGAAACTAACATATGTATTGAAGTTATAATATAAAATAATATATAAGAGAGACGTGACATTTTAGGTTCATTGCTTCTATTTCTTACCTTTTATACCTCGCCACACGGTAAATATACATGAGAATTCATTTGTTCACCACCAAACTAATTTAACTAAAGTGATTTGTAAAATTCAATATTACTTTATGATCTGTTTCGATCGGCATCCGACGCACCTCTTCCCTTCGAAACAAGAGCATAGCTTTCCATTTGCGTTTTCCGGTGTTTTTTTGGTCATTTGAATGCGTTTACTACATTATTGCGGATATTGTTGCATTGTATTGTTATTGTTAGATTAAACTCTAAGATTTTGATTGATGAAAGATTCTGACATTTATCAGAGCTATTGTCAGCGGAATGCTATTGTCAATTGTATTCAAAAAGAGTTTTCAATGTAAAAATGATATACGATATGTGTTCTTACAATGAAAAATGTAGATATGTTGCGCTAAAAGATCGAATGCGTTCGTTGAGCGAAAATTCAAAAGGAAGGTTATAACATATTCGCAGAATAATATACATAGCGAAATCAGTGTCGTGGCTGTCATAATATTCGACTGAAGAAAAACCATGAAGCGTACTGAATATGATAGATAGATAACTTCTTTATTTGTATCAAGCACACACAAAATTTTACAATATAAATTTTACAAAATATTCCATAAATTATTGAGAAAGAGAGCTAATTAATAGTAGAGAACAAGATGTAACAAACCAAGATAATCAAACATTATGTGTACCGCAGCGTTGCAAATGGGCGAAAACTCAGTGAGTATTTACTCAAAGAGCAAAGCACTCATTTTCAGTTTTTACCCTAATTACTAGTGGTCGCACTGTAAATATAAAAATTTGCAGAATTTACAAAGAAATTGATAATAGCACTACAATACTAATCAGATACCTACTGTAGAGGTCTTCGTGAATGATAACAAAATAATAGTTCTTATATTTCTTTACTTGATACATAAAAGTATTAACAATTCTTATTATACCGATACATGACGCAACCAATGCACATTGCACATAATTCGCAAGATGGCATTAGGCCATAGACCACAATCACAGTCTTTACTCTATGTACTTATGACTATACCACACGTTACACCTACTACAATAATTCTAATAAATTCTTACAAACTAAAATATGTAAACAATGAATAACTTATATACAGCCAGTTGTACAAACGTCCATTAAACATGTCATTAGTTTAAAGCGACATTACCCATACAAATTTGACATTCATTAGAGCTTAAAGGCGTCATTAAACCTTAATGGACGTTTGTGCAACTGACCGATAGATTAATAAAATAAAGTAAATAGATAGTAATATTATTACCTAATTCGGTGCATTTAGTAAGGATCATTCAGAGTCACAGAGTAACCGTTAATATTACTATTATTACCACCACTTTCGCCATCAAGTGAATTGGCGGGAACTTCATTTTATAGCAACCTAGATCTCAAATGAATTTAAAAAAATATGAATATATTGAATCGCAGTTGAATAGAATCAATCCTAAGTTTTGTGTGTAACAGAATTGCTACCAATATTTTATAAGTATGGGTTGCTTTCAGTCATTGAACGCTCGCGGCTCGTGTGAATTTATGTAGAATATTGTACAGGTTTGGTTTTACTTGATAGTTTTGGTTGTACTAAATCATTGTTCGTCTCTGCTCATGTTGTAATGTACGATAAAGCACATGTTAGGTTCTGTTTATTGTGTGTGGTTGTCTCGTGTCATTGCTTCTATCAGCTAGTAGCACAAGTAAGGTATTATTTGCCGGTAATAAAGAAAGATAATTGACTTTCATAAATGTTTCTCGGGTGCAATATCAGCCTGAGCACGTTAATCGTGGTGTCGAGTGTTTTAGTGTGCGTGAAAGTGTGTAACTGTGTTGAATTCTATGGATGTTTGTTATACCTATGCTATGGAGAACTCGACTACACAGTCTACGCTGACTGCACAATGGCTGCCTTAAAACATTATAAATCCAACAAATACTTAAACTTTTAAAACTTGATCGAGACAAAATAAGGCTAACAAAGTCAGAAGGCCTACTCTGTTTCTACGAAAACGAAATTTCATTTATTTTCGAAACGCCTATATGACTCTAAAAATATTTATCGATAATTTGATGTAACGGTTATAAGTGCCATTCGAAATTCTCCGAATTTTCATTGGTTGACAAACAGAGTAGGCCCTCAGAATATATGAAACCGAAACTTGTACGAAGTAGAAAAATTCCTTTGTGAAAGGCTGATTAAGCTTGAGAACTTATAAAGACTTAATAAAGGGTAAAAAAACCTTTTTTTTCTGCTATGGTGAGTAATTTAACTTTATTATTTTCGATCAATTTCGAATTCACAATGCTATATTAAAAATATATCCATAATAATAATCATTATAAAAATATACGAAGGGGATTTTTAAGTATTTATCATTATGAACAATTTAACTTTATTATATTTGATTTTATATAGTATATTTATACAACAAATTGCTATTGATTGGAATTAGTTACATTCTAACTATTCTTCTTCTTCTTTTTTGATTAATCTGCGCATTTCGCACAATTCTGCCAATGTCAAGTAAATAAATTAATTTTTTACATGTAAAATGAAAATAAAATGAATGAAAGATGGCCAGATATGATCAGGAACTTTCTCGATTTGACATTCATAAAGAGCATATTGGATTACTCAAATAATAATGAATAATAAAAATAAATGATGTTGAAGATCAAAGATAAAAAGTTTTTATGCGGAAACCTAGGACAAAATAAACGGTGGTACGACGCACCGTTACATATTTATTCAGGGAGGTTGTATAAAATAGACTGTGATAATAGCAGGCAGTACGTTTAGGAAAGGTACTTTATGAAATTAAAATGCACGAATGGGTATTTTCAACTGATTATTTATTATTATAGCCCTGTAAATAATATTTCTTTCCAAAGCAAAAGTTAGTTAATTTAGATGTTGTTCATGGTTTCGCTACTTGGCCCAAAATTAGGAAGGGAAAACCTTTCTGGCCATCCTAACATCAATACAAATACATTATTAGATATACCTAAAGATAAGCTCATACTTCAAATCTAAGCATTATCACGATCGATCGTATAACTACTAAGTTTGGGGCCGTCAATTAATCACGTGATGCTATTTTCAGAAATGCTTAACCCCCCCCCTCCTCTTTGGTGATACATAGTGAGGTAAAATTATTAAATTTTATTTGTTTATCCGTCAGGTAGATTGTTGAAAAATATTCAACATGTATTTTTTATATTTTTGCATAATCAATAAATAACAGGCTTCACGCTTTTGTACATTTTTTACAAAACTGTGACGTAGCGAGCAATACTTTTGGCTTTGAACCTGTGTTCAACGTACTTTTAAGAAGTCTATATGAATAAATAATATTTGCCTTTAGATATTTCTTTTTCGTTTTATTATAAATACCAGGCGATTAGGCCTCCTTTTTATTTGTTTATGTTAATAAATAGTTTAATAACAGTACTTCAATTATTGCAACATTCACATTTTACAATCGTGTTGTATTCTCCAAGTTCTCCGTAGTATTTGCAAAATACGACGAATATATTCCTCACAAGGATTCTAGACAAATATAACAGCACTGACTGTGATTTCTATGGTACAGTTTACTCAGGTGCACTACAAGACTAACAATGGAGATACTAATGAAATACAATACAAACACACATAAAATGTCTTAGGATAGCCATGTGGCAGTACTGACAGAGAATTCGAACTAGTTTCTGGAACTTGGTAGCTTTTTTATTCTTGTTATAATTATTATATTTTCCAACTGCATTCGATTCGTTTTCAATCTCCGTAAATACGACCACGTGTCTGCCCATCGCTCCCTTTTGAAATGAATGCCTATTCGAAAGCGTAGAGGTGTCCGTGTTCTAACTACCCTGTTTTCTTTGTTGCAATCACCTAACGCTCCAAGCTACCTCACTCCACACTTTCAGTACTTATGTACGAGTCATACAAAAGACCTTCGATCTTCTTCTAATAGACTACTTATGTGTCCTGCTCATCACTCTGACATCATCCACTCTTCCTTTTTCGTTAAAGCCATTATCCTATGGAATGCACTCCCCACAGACATCAGAATGTCCACCAGTCGGTTTGCTTTTAAAACCAAGTTGCGCAATTTAATATTAGATCAGGCAGAATCATAAAAATTGCTATCTCATTTCTACTAGGCATAGTATTTATAAGTATGTATTGTATTTATTTTTATTATATTATATATGTATTATGTTATATATAGTATGTATGTTTGTGTAATGCTTATTTTTATTTTTTTTATATTATTTTTTTCTCTCAAAGATTACATATGCACCTGCTTTTATCCTTTATTTTAATCTCCACATCACCTAAAGATTGACTGGCAGAGAATGCCTAAGGCATTAAGTCCGCCTTTGTACGATTGTGCATAAAGAATTAAATAAAATAAATAAATTAGACCTATCGATAATACCTACTATTGAAAGAAGTCGATCGTTTTGACAGTCCTTTTGATAGTGTAAGTAAATTAGTGTTATGTTGATTCCCCATCCGAGTTGCAGCACGACGTGCGCGGTGTGAGGTTCCGTCTTTTATAGTCTGCTTTCACTCGATTAACTTCAAAGCAAAGTAAAAGCAAAAATAAAGAAAACAAAACTGAGTGGGAAATAATACTTACACATCTTAAAAGTGGTCAGTATTCAAAAAACTTCTATTGAAATCGGAGAGAGGTATTTTTTAGGTTCCGTCGGACTTCAATACAAGTCTTTTGAATAATTGGACCAGTTTTAAGAAAGTATCTACAGTCGAGAAAAGTTACTTGAGAATTTTTATTTTTCTTTCGCTCATAACCGCCATTTGTTCCCGAGGTGATAGGTACACGCTATCTTTGTCGCTTTAGCGAAAGCCAGTACTGACCGACTGAAAAGTATAGAGCGACTAAAAAAGCGATAATGTATTGCAATATATCTACGAGCTTACCGGTTATACCTTACTCCGGTTTTATCTTACCTTGCTCTCTTCCTTAAACCGGTAAGCTCATTAAAAGGATCGTCATTCTAACCGGTTTCCATGTCTGTTGGAAACATATAAGTTAGATATACAACGAACAAATATGTCTCCCAAACAAAACTCGACCCGGGTCTGAATTTATGAATAAATTCAACGTCCCGTTTCGAGTTCGTTAGTGGCGTAATTGAAA